TGCTTGGCTCCCAGCCTAAATCAAAGTATTGTCTCAATCGTTGGTCGATGGTGGTGTTCCTGCGATGGACGAAGTCTATCGCCGAACGTCCATGTTGCCGGCGTTTTCCGGTGGAAGCCTGTGATATCCTCTCAATCGTCATCCCGCTGTTGCAGACTCGCCGGAGCCGGAGGGCCTCTATAGCTTCGGGACAGCCCGTCCCCCTTGGATGAAATTCCTCTTTGCGGCGATAGTGTGCGATACACGTAAGGAAAAATTCACATTAATAATCCCAAATATTGAGGTTCTTCTAATATTAATCCCTTAGTTCATACTCTCTTTCTTCTTCCTTTTGGTATTTATTTTGTTTCCCCTTGAAGCTGCAATTGACGCATGACGGGTCTGGAGAGGAACTAATTCACAAAGCTTAAACGAACAAATGAGGATAAAATTAGTTGCAGAATTTTTTCAATCTATATTGATCGATTTGTTGTTGAACAGACTAAACTTTGTTTTATAGTACTACTCTGGTCATTCCATTTTATGTGGCCAAAAGGGTGTTGATCTTCTGTTGGAGATGAAGTAGCATACCTTCATCCAACAAACACCTTTTGAGGATGAACAAGGATGGGTCGGCCATTTGCTTCTAAAGATGAATAGGGAGGGGCCAGAAATAAACCAACGTGGAAGATGAAAACAAATGAAAGAAAGAGAAATAAGGAAAGAAAATAAAAAGGGGAAATATTTATAATTGAAACCCTATAGAAATAGGACACGTGTTCAGGTGACCTGCAGTAGTTATACCGTGGAACCGGTGCATGGCGAACACCATGCACCATTGTTATTTTTTATATCTCCTTTTCTTAAAATTGTTAATAATTTTTTTATTTTTGATTCGATTTTTATAAAATTTATATCAATTTTTTTTTTATTTTTCATGATCTTTCAAATGAGACCAATATTGCCTATGTAATTTTAACATATTAACATTTGCGTGTAAAAATATGTAATTTAATTTTTGTCTCAATATTTTATGTGATGTAAATCCTATGTATCGAAATGTAATTCGTGTTGTTATAAAATGTAATCTCAGTTAACTACAAATGTAACTTGCTGCTTGGAATGTAACTCATATTACACCCTCTAGTGGTTCTCTCACCTTTTATACGAAATGTAAACCGCGTGTTACAAGATGTAATTTTTATCAAATTGATATGTAACTCGAGTGTATCCAAAATGTAACTTGAGAAATTTCGAAATTGTAAGGTGCGTTAAATAAAAAGTTAATTCAGGGAAATATAAAATGTAAATCATGTTAATCAAAATGTAACTTGATGTTGATACAAATGTAACTCGCGTGTAGAAATATGTAACTTACGTGTAAAAATATGTAACTTCACATATAAAAATATGTAACTCACATGTAACTCAATGATTTTTTATATACACAATTTTAAGATAAATTGTGATTTACACAATTATTTTTTTGTATTAAATTTAGTTCAGTTTTCCTTATAATCCAATAATCATTTATATAATAGTTCCATAATTTATTAAAATTACATAAGCAATATTGGTCTCATTTGAAAGATCGTGAAAAATAAAAAATGTTGATATAAATTTTATAAAAATCGGATCAAAAATAAAAAAGTTATTACCATTTTTTAACAACAAAAGAAAAAAAAAAAAAAAACAGGCCATGCTCCGTCATTTTGGGATCGGGCCACACCATCCTCATGGTGCGCCGATCCCGGGATATAATTTGCCGGTGACCTGTTAAATATGTTTATGCAGGTCACCGGTTTGTTTTTAGAAGATACCTGTTATAGTTTAGATTATATCGGAATAACTGATATTTGGGATTAATAATGGAAGACCGGGAATAGTTGAGATTATTTATGTGATTTTTTCCTACACAGAATGGCTAGGGTTTTAGTTTCTTTTATCGCTTAGAAAACTATAAGCAGAGTACTATTAGCGTCAGCACCTGGTGTTTTTCGGAAATTTTTATCATAAAATTTTTAATAAGCTTTTTGCGTTCACCCGTTGACGCAAAAGATTAAACATTTGTGTCCAGACATGTTGACGCAAAAACTTTGGACGCAAATAATACTTTTTCTTGTAGTGCCCACCACCGGCTCGCCAACGAACCTCCACCACTCCACCTTAAATGTATCGCCGTCGTCAACAACATCCGTTGTCGGAGAATCGATGTAGAAGGCGATGGGATTCTAGATCTGGAGCTTCATCACCGCGTACAACAAAGAAAGGAGAAGAAGATGAAGCGGCGGAGTCAACACAGGTGTGGGCCGTGTGGCCGTGTCGGAGATGGAGTCATTCAATCACCGTTGCCGGAGTGTGGTTGTGGTCGCCGGATTCATCGTCTTCAGCGGAGAGCAGAAGATGGATGTCGCTAGTCTGGAGAATTCCGGATGCGCTTGTGGCAGAGGAAGAGTAACGGGCTTATTGGGCTGGGAGAGGTCATATGTTTGTCCTTTTAAAAAATAGTGATATTTTTGTGCATTGAAAGTCCCAGTCATATTCGGGCCATTCTTTCTTTTCTTTATGATTCGTATCGCCGGCTTAAGACATTGAAATATTTCATACGGTAATTCACATTTTAAATTTTTAATGTTTTCATACTACATAATTCTTATCATGTATTTGAAATCAGTAAAATTCTATAGCATAACCCTAAATTTTGAAATACTTTATTTAGTACCTGAAAAACATATAAGTAGCTGAGAGTCTTAAATCACATGACTACATAGTCATGAGATATGACAAAGTTGATTCGAGTGTGAAAATAAGTAATCTTATACGGAGTAATTCTAAAAGAAATAATATGGTTTCGAAACACAAAAAAAAAGATATTTCTCAATCAAATTGTCAGAGCCGGCGTTCGTTAGTAAACATATTATAGTGTTCTTTAAAAAAGTGGGGTGCGTATTCGTTCGTAAACACTATTTTGGTATTGAGACAAATAGATTTTAAACCTACTACATGTATTGCAATTTTTTTATTGCTAAATATGGGTTTTCCGTCAACTAGTTTTTAAGTAATTTGCCTATTCGATTCGATATTGATTGGGTTGGTTTTAAAAAGTATAAAACTGAGAACCAAATTGTGTATAGTTGTGTTTTTTAGTAGACTTCAATTTAATTATTGTGAGGGCATCTCCAATTAAAATGTCATTGGAGATGCAAAATAATATAGACCCACTCTAGATGAGTTGGAAATTGAGAAAATGAACCAAAAAGCTGTTCTCTTCACCTTATCTGTATGTTTCTGATCTGAATTTTTCTGATCTGATCTGATATGAATCTATCTGATCTGATCTGAATCTTTCTGATCTGATCTGAATCCTCCTGATATGAATCTTTCTAACCTGATCTGAATCTTTCTGATCTGATCTGAATCATTCTGATCTGATCTGATTTGAATATTTCTATAATTATAATTATAATAATTATTACATATAATTATTATAATTGTAATTATAAATTAAATTTAAATATAATTATAATTAAAATCATATTTACAAATACAATTTAAATATAATTATAATTAAAATCATAATTATAAATATTATTCAAATATAATTATAATTAAAACCATATTTATAAATATAATTCCAATGTATTTATTATAATTTAAATTATAAATATAATAATTATACCTATTACACTAATTATAATTATAGCTATAATTATAATTGAAATTATATTTTTAATTTTAATTGCAATTATATTTATAATATTAATTTCTGTAATTATAATTGTTATTGTAATTAGAACTTTTGCATATAATAAAAACATCAACAACATTAACAACAACAACAACAATAATAACAGCAACCACAACTATAATAATAAGAATAAGAATAAGAATAAGAATAATAGTAATAATAATAATAGTAATAACAATAATTAGAATGATAATAATAATCATAATAGTCATAGTAATCATAATGATAATATAATAATAGTAATAATAATAATAATAATAAAAATAATAATAGTTATGATAATAATAATACATATTATAATAATAAAAGTGATAAATCATGTTTGAACTTTTCTGATCTGATCTGATCTGATCTGAATGTTTCTGATCTGATCTGAATATTTCAGATCTGGTTTGATCTGATCTGAATGTTTCTGATCTGATCTCATCTGAATTTTTCTGATCTGATCTGAATTTTTCTGATTTGATCTGATCTGAATAAAATACGAATAAACAATAACTAATACTAAGTACTATGTAAGATTAAGACGAACAGAACAACTTCGAAGATCCAAGGTCCATAAACGAGCCTTCCGTGCCACCCTCTCCCTAATTAAAAGAGAATTGGTGGGCCTATAAGCATTGTTGACAATCACTCAAAATGGCTTTCCTTATTTTTGTATTGGAGTAGTGTATTGGTAGACCCATTATTTTAGTTAAAGCTTGATCCACTTAACAAATATTCCTTCCGTCCCGAAAAAATTGTCCTGCTTTCCTTTTTGGTCTGTCCCGAAATAATTATCTTACTTTGAAACTTTCCTTATTTGGTAAACAAATATATACGAAACAGTGTCAAACAGTGCAAAACAGTGCAAAACAGTGTCGCAACAGTACCAAACAATGTCGATGCAGTGCCAAACAGTACCGCTACAGTGGCAAACAGTGTCGCTAAGTGTGAAGTCAATTTCATTTTCTTAATCTGTGTGAAGGTCAAAACCAGACAATTAATTCGGGACGAAGGGAGTAGCCTCTTTTTTGATTTTCTGTCACTCAAATTTCAGTCCGTATTATTATTTTTTATTTGTCAACTTGGTTGATTTTTATAAGTAAACTTCAAACTGCGAACAGAAACTTCTACGATTTAATTGGTTGATTATGTATCCATTTCAGTTTTGAATATTGTGTTCTAGATTTAACCCGAGTTATTTGATGCATTAGATTCAATGATATACGGAGTACTATTTAATTTGTATGTATGATTGATGATTCTTTTCATACCACTATGATTGTCATTTTTATTGAACACTGATCAATAATAAATTTATACACAAAATGATTTATTATTTCTAAATAACATAAAAATGTAATGTGGTAAAATTTTATTCATAAAAATACAAAAAATTAAAATTGAGTGAAATATACAGAGTATGAATACAAATTTCTTTGACCTCCGTATGGTGGGAGTATTAATTACTTCAAATTCTTCAATAGTAGAGTTTAGCCCAAATTCCTTTACTCGGTATGTCTTGATGAACCACAAAAAGGATATAGTATCCGGGCGGGGCCAAATGACCCGAATCCGGTATCACTGCTTCAATACTGTAATTATCATTGCCCATGGGTTTGACTTTCCCAGTGTTGAGAACCAGCAACCTTTGGTTCATCGAAAACGAGTGTGTACTAAATGACGGCGAAACCCACGTTACCTTAACCGTATTTGTGTCCACCTTACCCGGAACCTTGAATTGGAGTGTGACGGGTTTTCCGTACGTGAATTCGGACTGCGAAGCGGGTGTAATAATCTCGGGGCGCAAGTTATTGTTGACCGGATCCAAATAGGAAGGAGAAAATGCTTCCAAGCTTAAATCGGTTGGGAATAGAACATTGGTGAACATGTATACTGAATGTGGATTACTACCACCGACGAAGACCCGGCCGTCGCGGTTTAGAATGGCGGATGAGTGATACATTCTGGGTGTTTTACTCGGATTTTGCTGTTCGAATCGGGATCCGAGTGGGTTATCTGGGCGGTAAAGAACTGGGTTCAGGACTGGATTCCTACCATATTCCCAACCGGCACTTCCAGCACCGGCCCCATTAATGATCAAAACATGACCATTGGGTAATATGACCATATCGCCCATGACTCGTGCTGATGGCATCACCTGAAACCCATTTTGACATTATTTTAATAAATAAAGTCTTCTGTTTTCAAAAAAAATACTACACTAGATATAATAAAATTCCCTACTACTTGTTGTTGGGTTTGCCAATTTAGATGATGGAGAGAGATATGAATAACATTATATTGTAGAGAAACATTATGCTCTTAAAACAAAATAGCTAAAAAATTATTCCGTATTTTTTTGTGCTCACTTGAAACAAAAAACTTAAAATTACTTTTTTAACCAATATCAAACACTATTAAAAATTTTAAAAGAAAAGCTACACATTTTTTGGACAATAAAAAACGAAGGTGGATAAAGTCAAGAAAATACTTTGTTTAAGAGCAAGACATTGCAAAAATCACCAAAAACAAAGTATTATTCTTTTCTTCCCTAGATAAGATTCATCCACTCATATTTAGAATGTTGTTATTATATTATACGAAGTATTATACTTGGGAAAAGTAAAATAAGGTAATTATGGTTTCGACCGTTTTCAAATAAAGGCCTGAAGTTCATTTTTTCATAAATTAGAGCTTGTGCTTTCACCTTAAGAGTTTCCGTCTAAACTCTGTCAGAAACAAGACGACGTGACACTTTTTTATCCATCCAAAGTGAAAGCACAATATCTCTCTTTATGAAAAATGAACCTCATACATTTATTTGAAAACGTCTCAAATATGATAAAACGAATCTTACTTTATGAATAAAACCTTTGTTATATTTCACTCATGTTTTGACTTTTGAACCATTTATTTTTTGCTTAAAGTAATGACGTACGTTGGAGTTCATCAATACTTTAAGAGAATGCCCCGTGAATAACTCTCGTGTTTGAGCTCAATATAAAGCTTGCTTGATAGAGCCATTTAATAAAGCGCTTTTGAAGAGCTTTACCATACTATTGCTCATCAACCTGATCGATTTAACATTTATGAATGAAGGTGTTCCGTGTTCGCATATATGTTTAATTGATAATTGATAATCTATTGTTTTAATTGTGATGTTGGTTAGGGGAAGAGCCAAAGGGGTCAGGGTGGTCAGCCGGCCCCGCTGAAAGTTCGAGAGTATAGAGCTCTGAATTCTCTTCGATATGATATATTATGGTTCCCGTAACTCATTACGAGTAAAAAGTTATGACTTCTGGAAAATTAGCACTATCTAAACGTAAAATCAACAAAATTTGATGCATACTATAGATTATTTTCCCAAATTTTAAAAACAGGATATATTTCACTCAATACTTACGTGACACGACTCGGAAACTTAGCAAAGACAACCTATCTTATTGCTACGAGTACCTATTTATGTAAACTGTATATGAAATATTCAACTCGGACATTGTTTTAAATCGATCCACCATTTTCGACCCCCTGAGCCGTTTTTCTGGCTCCCCCACTAATGTTGGCGATAATGAAATATAATTTTATTCATTTAGCGACGGGGAAAAAATTTGTTCATTTCATTACTATCCGATCCCTATTTAATGACATGCATGATTGCTGTTAATTTAAACAAGTTTGCTAGCTCTTGTACAAATTCAAAGTATTTTGGAAAACAAGAATGGCATAAGGTTAATAAATAAATATGGAAATGTTGTGTTCACATCATCAATCATTTTTTCTTATTCAAATTCTTGCATTTGTATAGATCAGAAGTAATTTTAAAAAATATATTCGAATATATTATTACTACTGTTTAATTTTATTTACTATCGTATTATTTTATTGTACTTTTAGTATTTATCCCGTCCCATCTTACAATAAAATGCGTAATGAGACTTTTATTTTTTTCTATTTTGCTTTTAAAAACTAAGTATATATAATTGAGATCAGAACCCTTTTGGTCAAACTATAATTCTGTAATTAATTGGCAGAATTGCTGAAATTGGTGAATTTCAGCTCAAACATCTGAATTGACACAACTACTTAAGTTTAAAAAATTAAACAAAATATTTTTCATTAATAAAATAAAATATACATAGTATATGTGAAAAATAGTTAAGGCTTGGAGACTTAAGGAATGGTACTCGTATTGAGCATTTGTGCTGGGCGACTACCCTTTGCTATAAAAAGCAATGGTTGTCCTATTTATGTAATTTGTGAATGTTTTAATAGGGTTTAAGAAATTTACTTATTAAAAGAATAGAAATTGCCCTAAATAGGAGCAAAAACGTTCTGAAATTCCAAAATAGAAGTATCATATTTTTTATTCCTTGAATATGAGTAATCTGCCAAGTTTGAAAAAAAATGCCATGTTTAATAGCCTAATAATGCCAAACTTGGCAGAAATTTACTCCTATTTAGAGAATAAAAACATGATACTCCTATTTTGGAATTTCAAAACTTTTTTACTCCTATTTAGGAAATTTACTCTTAAAAGAATAACTTGATTAAAAAATATCAAAATATTAATTAATGAGTCATATTTTGGAAATAAAACATTGGTAGTTTTATTTATAAATTTTATTCATGTCTCAGTCCTATTAAAAAATCTCTCATAAATATATTCATGGTCGAAGTTATTCAATAAAAAGGGTAAAATTAGGTATTTTAGAGGAATTAGAGCTTTTGCCAATTGAGCAACCACTTTTTTAACTGCAAGTTTGGAAAGTTTAAAAGTCCAACCCGATTTTCAATTGGGGAAAGTTTAAAAGTCCAACCCATTTCTGAAATGAGGTCCTAATTTTACCTCCGTTATCCAGCGCGGGTTCGGGTCGGTTATGGTCATCCGAAGACAAGTATTCAACGCGCCAACAAATTTGCCATCCCTCGAACTTTCAAATGCACCCTTCGGTGCACCCCCACAAACCAAGACTTCAGCTTGGGTGGACGCGCCACCATTCGGGTTCTTGATGGGTAAAAGAACCGCCGACCCGGTGCTCGGGTAGCTTCTCGGGTTACCGTCGGGCGTTTGCGGGTATGTCCGAACCACAACGTTCTTGTTATAGTTGAACAAGATGGCCCGATTGTTAGCAAAAATGAACAAATGCCCGTCCACGTTTAGGAAAACAAACGGGTACAAGTTGTTCTCCACTCCCGGGTCGCTCGTATTGGCCAGAAACGGCAGGCTATACAGATTACCCGCGAAGTCGCCGGTCTTCGGGTAAAACTCGTAGTTGAATGCCCCGCGACCGCCAATGATTATTTGGCGGCCGTTTGGCAAAATATGGTCCGTGGCGTACCATCGTCTTTCGATCAGCCCGCCACGGATTTCTTTCCAGTCACATTTTTTGTCGTCGCACGACTGGAAAATTCGGACGACACGCTCTCCAAGCTTGAACCCGCCGGTTTGGATTAGCATGCCAACGGGTGAGACGGAACCCGAGGAGCACCACACGTCGGAGAGGACCATGAGGGGCCGGACGGAGTTGGAGGCGACATCGTATTCTACTGAATGAGCACTGCAGTCCTTCCCTAAAACTCGACCGTCATCTTCTCCGAAGATGGTCCGGCATTTGCCGCCGGGCAATGAGATGTTGGAGGAGCCGGCGTCGGTGCGGTCGAAAATGATGACCTTGTCGTTGTGGAGGAGTTGCATGTGCATGGCGGATATTCCGATGCTGGGGAGTAGTACGTCCCACTTGCCTCCGCTGCCGCCGCCGCCGGCTCCGGCGGAGACCATTATTTTCCGGTTGTGGAATGTTTGCGGAAGCATAATGAACAGCCACAAAGCTAAGAAAGGAAGAATAAATAGTGAAGTTATTGGAGTCATTTTGTTGTGTGATTTGGCTGTTATTGCCTTATTGGTCGTGTATATATAGTTTGTGTTTTCCTCATAGCATATATATGCTGGAGGTACTTATGGCCAGCTACAATATATTTGTATTCCATAATAATAAAACATATACGTGGCGTGGAGGATTAGGTCTAATGGGATTTTTAGTTTTTTAAGTGGGAAAATTGAAGATGGAGATATACATACCTTATTGTTTACTACTTCGTATAGTACCCTCTCCATCCTAAAAAGTTTAACCAACTTGATTTTTCTTCATCAATTCAATCACCTAATAATATTTTTTAATACGAAACGTTCTATTTTGAATACATAAATTATATCAAAGTGTTCCTTGCTCAACTTATTTTCATAGATGCATAAAATTTATAAATTATATACAAATATAATAATTAAAATTATTGTCTAAAGTTTGACATTATTGATTAAGAAAGGTTAATATGACAAATTTTTCGAGATGGAGGTAGTAATTTCTTGTACAGGGCATGCATACTTAAGAAGTTAAGATCATATTTTCCGTGTTTTGATAGAGAGTGAGAGTATTTATAAAAAAGAGCTTGTAAAATTTTCGATGAGTAATACAGAGTATTGTCTTAAATTTACTCAACAAGAGTTTTTTTTGCTGTAAATAGGACTAAATTGCTCATGAAATTCCCAAATGGGGTTATATATATTTTTATTCCCCAAATGAGATGAAATTACCGTTTTACCCTTAATTTTCCTACGCATACCCTAAATCCCAGATCGATCATTTTTCTCCCTGCGCACATCGATCATTTGTCTTCCTGCGCAACCCATCATCCTCATCCCCTCCTCTGCACGTATTCCTCATCGCCTCGCACAAGAACAACGAACTAGAAGCCGCCACAGCCATAACCGCCGCCACGAAGTCCGCCACCGCCGCTGCTGGAGGTCGAGTTTTCTTCTCCATAGATCGGTTTGTCTTCTCTGTTTGGTATCCCCGTCTAGTTCTCTTTCCCCAAGCTTCGTTTCTTCTTTGAATTTACAAAATACCAAGTAAAGCTCTAAAAATGCCATTAAAATGACATTTTTTGTCTTCAAAAATGTTGTATTTTCCTTTAAAATTTCCATTAAAATGGCGTTCTATAAAAACCTTGGCATTCACGTGGGAAACAACCAGATCTGCAACTGAGTAAGTCGGAGTTGCAGCGCATGTGTCAGATTAGCTGCGACGGTGGCTGGATCTGCAGGGGCAGCGGCCGATGAGCGACGGAGGATCGATATGGCCAGATCTCTGTCGAAACCCTCCAGATCTGCATCGGCAACGACCTGATCTGCAAAAACGGCCAGTTTTGGAGGCGACAACGATCTCTGGCGACCGGCGGTGACTGGCGAATGCCGGTGGTCTAGTGTTCTGGTCAGTGACTTTATGACTTCCAAGCTTCAAGGGTGTTTCTGTCTAAATACAAATAATAACTCCTATTTAGGGAATTTTTACACTTTAGTCTTATTTTTATATATATATAAAGAGAACATGGTGGAAATCCAAATAGAAATCTATTTAGAGCCAAAAGAAGTGAAAAATTGTTGTCACTATTAATGAAGCATTACTTAATGAAGCCATATTAAGTTCCAATCTAATTAATTGTTGTAAGTTATAAATAAAGCTTTAGAAAATTGTTGTCACTATTAATGAAGCATCACTTAGTGAAGACATATTAAGTCCCAACCTAATTAATTGTTGTAAGTTATAAATAAAACTTTAGAAAATTATATTGAGCAGAAATACATTAAATATTAAAAAATATTAGAAAAATATTAAAAGATGCATATACATAATTAATTAAGAGACATCTTTATATCTTTATATATATAAAGAGAACATGGTGGAGATCCAAATAGAAATATATTTGGAGCCAAAAGAAGTGAAAAATTGTTGTCAGTATTAATGAATCATTACTTAGTGAAGCCATATTAAGTGCCAATCTAATTAATTGTTGTAAGTTATAAATAAAGGTTTAGAAAATTGTTGTCACTATTAATGAAGCATTAATTAACGTAGTGTAGTGAAGCCATATTAAGTGTGTGAAACAAATTTTAAGTATTTACTTAAAATTGATCGCAAATAATAATATATGAGAATATTGAGTACAATCTCTAAATATGAATCCTCTGATTCTTCACTTGCAACTTGACATGAATATAGTTAAAGAAATTAATTGAAAATTAAATCTTTAATCCTTCAAACGTTCGCACGTTCTTCAGATCTTCACATCTTCGTTCTTGAGATCTTCGAATCTTCATTCGTCGGATCTTCAAATCTTCTTGAATTAAGAATTCAATTTGAAGGGCCTCCGGTGTTCAAATATATGCGATATTCGAAACTAATTCTGTTTCTGCTTCTTTTTTAAAAGCAAAAGTAGAATCCAAATTTGTTTTACAGAAGTCAGTCTCTCCCAACTTCTAAAAAACGGTTACTAGAAACAATTTTGACCACTCAGAAGTACTTTTGTATGTTCACCCAAACACTCCAATATCTGTTTTTACTCCCTAAACAAGCAGAATCGTTTCAAGAAGCAGATTCAAACACCCCATAGTTAAAGCATTATGTTGATGAGTTTCCTTTCACAAAAACATTTAGTTCAACTAGTCTTTAATCAACTAAATAATTAAGGCCACTTTTCATGAATATTACTAAATTAAATTCAAAAGACAAAAATACACAATATGACTTATTTTAAAACATTCCAAAAAACTGACATATTCAGTGACTAGTTCTCGGTAACTCATCATCTACCGATGACTTGTCGCTTTGAAATACACTATAGCAGGGGCGGAGCCAGGGCAGTAGGGCACTAGGTCGGAATGGGCCGATACAAAGAATATTTTTGGAAAAAATTCTATACAAAATTTTATACTAAAAATTTAGACATTTTTAAAATTTGGGCTGGACCAGGGCCAATATTGGCCCTCCCCTAGCAGTTCCGCCCCTGCACTATAGTAACCCTTGTTCAGTTACTCGTACACAATGATCAGTCATATTTTTGTCAAAAACATAATTAGTCATATTTTTGTTCGGGAAAACCGTGTTAGTAATAGATATACATATCATGTCATTTTTTCAATAATCAATCAATTAAACTTATTGTTTAACTAGAGAGCATGATAATTTCTTTTCGGCAAGCCATAAGAAAAAACTGGATGTGTTTTTACCCAGATCACCTGATTGTAATTGTTAGTCCCAGAATTCTAACAATCATACAACCATAGCAGTGATAAAGAAGCAGATAGAAAGAAATCGACAAGATTGAACGCGAATCTGATATACCGTATGAATCTGCCGCTACTCTCCCTGGAGAAGGAGAGCAGCGGCAACCCTAATATCTCTCTATCTCGCCTCTGCGTCTCTGAGCCTCTTGCGATCAGTTAGGGTTCCCGTAAGTTAGCCTCCTTTTATAGGAGAAGTTGGCTAACTTACGGGTTACAAGGAAGCCCACGGGCTGATACACATTTGTGGCCCGTATTACACGATTAATTAATAACTACACAAATACGAAGATAACTAACTAGATTGAACACCATAAAATATTCCCAACAATCTCCCCCTTGGTGATCAATCGTGTTGAATCAGCATTGCAGCGCAGATATCTTTGTCTTTGTTGTTATTGAGCTTCCTTTGTCTTTGAACTTGACTTCTGAGGAAGGCTATCTGAAGAAATCCTTGCAATCTCCCCTTTGATGTCTTCTTGACAATTTGATCTTTGATGCCGGGGGTTGAGGGACCTTCAGTATCTTGCATGTAGTCCTTGCCTTCCAGAAGTTGCTCTTGATCAGCTTGGATGAAGTCCGGTGACGCCTCTAGAATGAATATTCTTTGGAGAATAGGAGACGCCCATGGAATTCATCTTCAGGACACGAGTATTTGACCTCTGTCTCCTCCACAATGTAGTCTTTTTGACTATTTGGAATGAATGCATTTGAGGAGAACTTGTCGGTGGCACAGCAGAACATAATGATGGTTGATTTGTGAGTGTAGCTGACCAGTTGATTTGAGTTGCGGAGATAGTAGAGAGGGTGTTGAATTTTGTGATGGAGGAGTCAAGTGTCCCAGAATGATTTGTTCAGTGTTAACAGCATGTGGACCACTCTCCCCCTCATGACGATCCGATGAATCGGGACGTCATGCCTTTATTCTGCGGAAATAAAAACATGAAAAACAAGCAGAATCTAAAAAAGATAACGTAGCCCCCCGGGGTCGTGAAGACGCCCGTTATCATCACTATAGAGATAAACTCTAAAGCAATGGCCTGAAAATGTTGGTGATTCTTATGTTGCAACAGCAGGACTTCCTTCCAATTATTGGTCTTCATCTGTAATAGATGAGCCCTATGGAAGTTCTCGCAAGTCTTGAAGACTAGCAACTGACTCTAAAATGTGTCTGTGTCCTAGAAAATTTCAAAACATTTGGGAAGTGAGTAACTAGACACGACGTGATCAATGAAAGTTCAGTGGCATGGGGCTGAGGCCACTGTAGTCAGTATTACTTGCCTCGTAAGGAGGTAGTAATGAGAGATGCGGTTCCCCGTGAAATATGATTAAACACTTGTCTGTTGGGAGACAAGTGAGTGGTCTAGGGTAGGGTTGTGCATGCGCCGTTTGGACAAAATGCAGCGACTTCTACCCGGGATCTGAATAAATTCAGTCCTGAACCTATGGGGATAGTCCAGAGTATTTTAGTGGCTAGGAGCAAATGTTCAATTCATAGCAGGCAATTGAGGTAGCAGACTCATCATTGATAATTGTTTTTCTTCTCACTTGAGCCTTCTGCTTCCTAATGCTCATAATGTTCACTTACTCACTCGCTCACTTACGCAATTACGCTCGGCTTTGTCCCTTGGGTAGGCTTAGTTGGGTTTACTAAGCCATAGGGACATGTTCTCTCATTACTTTCTTCATTTTCTCTCTGTGCTCCCCCTCAACTGGAGCACCCGGTATGCTTTGTCATTGTTAGGCACCGGAGAGGATAACATTGAACACTCCCCCTAGAATGTTGCATCCGTTGAGAGATTCCTTGCTTTG